GGAAGTCAAGAGGATGGAAGCAGTCTGTTTGCAGTGGTGTCCAGCGACAGGACTAGGGGCAATGGATGCAAACTGAAACACGAGAGGTTTCAGTTGAATATGAGGAAGAACTTCTTCACTCTGAGGGTGGCAGAGCACTGGAACAGGCTGCCCAGGGAGATTGTGGAGTCTCCTTCTCTGGAGATATTCAAAGCCCGCCTGGATGAAGTCCTGTGTAGCATGCTCTAGGTGAGCCTGCTTTAGCAGGGGGGTTGGACTAGATGATCTCCTGAGGTCCCTTCCAATCCTTACGATTCTGTGATTCTGTGATTCTGTGATTTCACAGGATCAGGCTTTCTCTGGTTTATATGTAAGTGGGATTGCTTCAGGCTGTTGAACCAGCCTGCTGCAGACTAGCCAGCCCCAGAAGTTTTATCTGCGCTGTAGCAACCTCAAGCCACTGCTGTTCTGCTTGTGCATCTAATGTCTCAGCTGCTTACTGAGGAGCTAATGAGCTTTTGGAGATACATGGGTGCTATAAACTCCTTAGGCTGGAGATAAGCAGCTTATTGCCTTTAGGAGCACTGCCAGCCCTTGGCTCTGCCGCTGCGGTGCTTCTCAGGCCCCAAGTCCTTCGTTAGCAGGAAGGGTTATAACGTCTTGCAATAAATAACTGTATTCCTAATTACATGCATAGACGCGTGTGCTGCAGCCATCTCCACAGGCTGAGGTAAAGCCTGGCAGCAGGACAAACAGGCAACAGCATGACAGACTCCAACCCTCGCCAACTGCCTTCCCTGCGCAGGGGCTGCGCCACCTCGTCCGTACGGGATGAAACCACCACCTTCCTCGTGGGGAAATGGCCTTGGGCACCCAACAGCAAACTCACCATGGACAGCGTGGGCAGCCTCAGAACAAAAGGTGGCCGTTTTGATTATGAAACAACTTGTTTCCATTGCTGTCCTTTCTCTGCTTTAGGATAGACCCGCTATGAATGCCTGTCTAGAAAATTCACTGGGGAAAAAAAAAAGAAAAAGAGGCAATGCACAATGGAAAGTTCATTTTCAAAGTCACAGTGAAAGCAGGTTTTTACTTCTTTAGTATGAATTCATCCCTTGCTGTTCGCCATTCGCTGTCTGCAGTGTCTGCCATCAAAAGCAATCCTGCTGCAAATGGGCAACAGGCTGCAGGTGCTACTCTTACTAAACGCTAAAGAGAGCTTTCGAATAAAATCTGCTTGGCTAGCCAAAGCATCTTCATCTTTATTGTGTATTTTACTTTTTTTCTCCCCTTTTATGTATTACCCAGGTATAAATTACCTCTTTCAAGGTATAACTAGGAACATAATTTGGTATGCAACTCAAACTTTTGTTTAGTTGCTCTCCTTGGAGCAGTTTTGGAGTTAAATCTAATTGTCAGGGATAGTTACTTGAGGTGCTGGAAGTACCTTCTGATACTGTCTTTTAACGTGAGTAAATAAAATACGAAAGCTGATTTCTTTGCTGCTCTGTTGTCCTTTCCTGTTGGTTAATACCTTTGCACAGCTTAGACTGAAGCCAGAACTGCTCTCTCGTTTTGGCACTCTCTGCCAATGGATATCCCCTCCTTGCCTATAGCTCCTTCCCCCCCCTTCACAGCTGGTTGAAATGAGCGGATGAGCAATGCAAAAACCTTCAGTGTGACTAAAACTGTGAGATTTAACAGTATCAGAGAGTCCATGAACACTAGCTGAATGCTAAATTCTTCGTTAAAGGGGCGTTGGCTGTTTAGATAAAGCTCTTGCCAGGGTGTTGGAGCGGGATGATAATCCAGCAGCATGTTCCCGTGACCGAGAGCAGTGGTTCGGCGTCAGCTCAAGGCTCTCCACCACCGCTGCCGAAGCAGTACAAACAGTTCAGCCTTATGTCTGGAATTCAAATCAAGCCATCACCAGCTTCACGTTCAAGGCCTGTAAGTCACTAACTAACCCTTCTGTATTTAAATTACTTCTTCAACAAAGGCGTTCTCTCGTCATTTAATGTTGAACTATAGAAATAGCACGTAAAAAGATTTTGCAGTTTAGAAGCATTCATGGGTCTCGACCAACTTTGTGGGCTAAAAGTAAAACACAAGAAACATTTTTTTACCGTACTATCCTATCAGCTGAGCTTTTAAGGCAGGCTGATGAAAAGGAATCTATTATTTTAATAGCGCTTTCTCTCAGGTAAAAGGTCTTGCTAACTTACTGAAGCAGAGCTTGAAATAACAGATAAAAACTGTCAGAAAAGCTGTGATGTAGTTTGGAGCTGAGTGAAAATTGTGACCAAAATCTGAGCCTACCCAAACCCTGAGTTAAATACCAAAATGTCCCAGGATCCCTTGGATCATCATGCAAGCTGTTAAGGATTACAAACAGCTTATCTGTTTGGGGTTGGGTTGAGTTGGGTTTTTTCTTGGTTGTTCCTTTTGTGCAAAGGGTTTTTCTTTGGGAGGATTGGGTGGTTTAATTTTTTATTTATTTGCCCCTTTGCTCTTGTGTTTTATCTAACAAAGTTCACTTCAGTGATGCAGGGCTGATGAGGGGAAAACCTCCTGGAGCTGTGTTAAACCTGAAGGCTTCATACGTGGGAGGAGCAGGGTATGGGCTTTGGGGAAGATCCAACGGGGTTTTGCAATTTTTGTGATCTTGAAAAAAAATTGTTGTGGTTAAATAAAAACAAAGCTTAGGAAAAAAAAAAAAGATACTCGTTATGTGTGTAGTACAAAGCCTTGTAGAAAGCCTGTGTATCGTTTGAATGCCAGTTGAGTTACCTTTACAACAAGGACGTGATGATCGGGAGGACAGTGGAGAGCTGGATGAATTTCATCCGTGCAATGCATGAGTCCAGCCTGGGAAACAAACCTCATCTGCCAAATTCTGCAGGGCCGTTTGCAGCTTTTTTTCTTGAAGGAGGGACACGGCTCTGCTACCAATAAATAAAGTGGGAATTTTGACATTGATTTCAAAGGGACGTCAACCGAGCTCCATGCAAAGGGAGGGCTGGCATATGATGCTGCTTTTCTTTTTTTCCTATTAATGTGACTAATTAAATGTTTGTATTTTTTAAGCACTAACAGGTTTTTGATGGTCGTTTAGAGACTTTGAGAAAGTCAATAATTTTGATGAAATAAGACTGTAGACTCCCGAACAAAGTCCACATGGAATCAGTGATGTTGCTAGGATACAGCTATTAGTATTTTCAGTGGCTGGGGTATATTTTTTGGTGTGGGTTTTTTTTTAATAGAGTTGGCCTAACCTGTCTTACAAACAGTAGAAGAATACGTGACCATCTGATCCCATTTACACGATGCTCCCTCAATTTACAGTAACGAGGCCAAACTTGACCCATTCGTTTCAGCCACTTTTATTTGTGAAGAAGAAACACAAAGAGTAATTTTGACCTGAGCTATAAAGGAGCACATTTTATCTGAATCTTGATTCTTTTTAAATGATGTGCAGGATTTTCTCCCTGTGGGTGTTACATTGCTGAAGTCAGTCTCCCTCTAGTGGTTTATTTCCAGAGGGGCCCTTGGCTTTACCTGCTTGGATGGGTACAGAATTTGCAGGAGCGTGATGCAAAAAATTGCATGAGCCCTATGAGCTGAACCGTAGAGCAGCGTTGAACTCATAATTTGCAAGAGGTGAGCATAAAACCTTAAAAATTACTCTTTCCTGTGGGTTTTATTTTAGAATTTATTTATTTTTTACAATATCAGTAGTAGATGAGGCTTTCCATCCCAGGCTTACTCTGTGGTACAGGCTAACATGGTTTGCTCCGTGTGTAGGATGTGACTCTTGCACGTTGTTTCCTTCAGCTGTACGCTGGGATGCCTGTAAAAAAAGATCAGTATTTAAGCTCATGTTCCACATCAAAGCCAATGCTAGATGTGGTGCCAGTAACATTCTTTTTGATTTAATATAACACAGAATGGCATTGTGGATGATGCTATTTTGAGACGCCCATGTTTGGGGAAGAGATATCTGAGTGAAAAACTGCAGATATTTTGCTGGGAAATAAGAAAAAGCAAGCTGTTTGGAGTTTGTTTCCAACATATAACTTAGATTTGAGGTCTGTCAGGTTTTTTGCATTTATGCCCCTGACCTCACCTTTGCTGGGCATCTCTTTCTTTAGCACCTAAGATACCTCCAGTGCCTTACAAGCATGGGGAATGGGAAGGGGAGGGATGAAAGCAGAAGCCTAGTCTCCAAAGCTAAGTAAGGAATTCAAGTCTCCTAATACCCAGTGCATGGACTGGATGCTGAGTCAAGCCAGTTCAGCTCCCCGAAGATGGCTAGGTAAAGAATAAAGGTCTAACCTGAAGCATATTTAAGTCAATACATGCCTTTACTTAACTGTAAAGGGCTTTGGATGAGGCTCAGCCTGCCTTCGCAAGCAATGGTAACCAAAGAGAGCTGTGATTCTGCAATGCATCAAAGATCCTGGAAGATGGGTGTCTTTCCAGCCAGCACGCTGATCTGAGGTAGGCAGAGGACTGGTGCTGCCTTCTTCGTGTTCACATCCGTCCTGTGATTTGCTTTTTCACATGCCAGAGGAGCTATTTGGCCTTGGTTTTTCCTTTATAAACTGTAAAGAGAAAAAGCTTGGAGAAATGTAGGATTACCTGCCCCAGAAGTGAGCAAGCTCCCATTCAGTTTTCCCAGGGCCCTGGACCCGGAGGTTAGGAGGTGCCATCACCTTCCTCTCAAGCATTTTACAGTGTGCTCAGTTATGTCACAACTTTAGGGGTAAGTTTTTACTTTTGTTTGACTTCTACTTCATGCTCAGCTTCTATTGGGCAATCAGGAATCTTGATCCCTTGGGAGACTGCTTAAAACACTTTCCTTTGGATGCTGCTCTGTAAAAGCT